ATTCTACGGTTACCTCTGGGGTAGGGTTCTCGACGGAATCCAAAATGTCAGGCAAATAAACTTCTTGTTCCAGCGATCGCGTCTGCTACTTCGGCACCCTGGTATAGACTGTATTTTCGGTTTTTATTTTGTAGTGTGGGAGTACTGTGCTCCTTTGGTTTGATTCGATGTTCCAAGTAGTTGCCTACTGGAAATCTCTACAGCATAGGGGGATAGTTGTTGGTCTATCAACTAAAAAGGTCCTCATAAATTACTCGATCCGGTTGATTCTTGAACTTTTTGTGGGGATGACTTATACGGCATCCTAATCAGGACATAAAAACAGGAACTGTCATGAAAAATAGATTTAAGTTTACAGTTGTGGTTAGAGTTAGCGTCCGGGTAATGTGGGCTTGAGGTTGGGGTTATTGGGATGTAGATACGATCGCTGGGACCAATGTCAGGGAGCCAGATCGCCGAGCAATCATCGAGCCCAATTCCACCACGTTTGATGGAAGTTCAGCAGACCACGGGTTGCACGCCGACCATCAAGCAATTAGCGCACAAGCGTTCAATTATCCTCGATAAGGGAGTTGTTAATTGTCATGAGTGTTCAGTATCATAGTGAATGTGTCCTATAAATATTGCAACTCCCTGTGTACGAACTACCCATTTCTGCTATTGGATCTGATGGATCCCGATGGATCCGCGACGAATTTCGAAACGTCAGGCGAATCAAGATCTTATCCCAACGAACACATCTACTTCTTCTCTATTACTTCCTGAGACTCGCATGCTCGTTTCTTAGCATTATTTTCTAATCATTGGGTTAGGATAGGGTAAGGGGTAGGATAAACCAACGGGTTGGGTTCACGTTAGGACTCTTTTAGAGTCAAGAGACAGCAATATTTAATCTTCCTGACATTATAAGTAGGGACATCTTTATTACACGGCTGAATCATGCTTTTTCCTGTGTCCCGTTAAGGGGGCCATATAAGTCGTCCTGTCCGAACTTGTACTCGAATAGCTCC